ACAGTAGAATGTTGCTGATAGTGTCTGGCCAACGGATCCGAAGTATTTTGCGTAGACAACTGTTAATAAACACTAGTATCTTCTGTATGATGGCTTTCGTAGTTCTTCAAGTTTCTGATCCATACAATAGAACTATCTTGATATTTGTATTAAAAATTCTGATCTTGTTGTTGGTTGACAGACAATTGTTTTGAGTTCCAGATGTTCTTTAGTTGTAAATATGCTGCTCTTGCTTTGACGATCCGCGTCTTTACATCTGCATCAGATTCACCGTGTTCATCGATGATGCTGCCCAAATATGTAAAGATTTTCACATCCTCCAAAGCTTCTCCGTCAAGTGTAATTCGATTGATACATGTTAAGCTTTCATCATTCGTCTTATTAACATCATCAGCATATACTTTAAGTAGGCGTTTACCGAATCATTCAGCTTAGAGAGAAAAATACTCCACCAAAGCCATCCACATCAACTACAAATCTACCATACCATCTCATAAACTTCAATTATGATAGAAGAGTGAGTCAGCAATCTTCACTGATTGACAAGTCAACATAATTATCGGGGTGATTGATTGATTTGTTCTTTCCTTAAATGAAATCTGTACAGTATTCCATGTATATGTATATGTATGTATAATGGTGTATACTATTCAATATTTTCATAAAATCATCGATCTCCTAATTAAGCTGCCAAATTATCCATTATAGTGACCTTTTCATAATCATCCATATGTTGTAGGCTTTTGGTATGTTTTTAAATTCTGTAATAAAATGTTTATGATTGGAATTATTTAGTAGAGCTATGGTTTACTTAAACAGCTTAATTCCATAGAATTACTTATGAATATAAGGTCGAAGGTCCTGAATTGGATTCCTGCATGCAGAGTCGTGTATGCACCTTGTTGAGTAGTCCTATGCTGAAATGAAATGACCCTTCAGTGCTTCCAGGTTTTCATTCGCACTCTAACATTGATCAGTTCATGGTTTCTAACTTTGTTTATTAAATGAGTAATGATTTTGTTTTTAAGATTTGATAAATCCATTGAATAAACATCATTTGCTATATTTTATTGAGTTGCATCATAACGCATAATTCCAGTATGTGATACCATTAATGTACTATTGATCATTTATAACCTTTTTGGAAATGATAGACATACTGTTTATTTTAATGGGATTTATATATAAGGAGGGGAAAATGGCAGGCCCTCCAAATGCTGTTTACGAAATTGAGAGGACGAAAAGCGAATGTCCGGCGCCTTAACCAGGTTGATGGACACAGATAGTCCATCCAAGGGAGTTTGAAAACACTGATTACAAAACAATGGTGCACTTGGGCCCTAGTATCCTGAAGGAACAAATAGAGTATGAACCCATTGTTGATCGCCGTCTACCATAGGAATGCATCTCTTAACGTTGCTTTACTACACTGTAGATCGGACCTCTAGGTCAAAGTCTCCGGGTGTGAACCTCTAAAAAAACCATCTGCGTCGGTCTGGGGACCCGTGAAGTATATATATTCTCATATGTATCTGGTGCTTCCTTGTGCCAATATTTATGTGTTTAAATAAATAAATAAAACAATAATTCACAAGTTAGAGAATGAAGGAAAACATGAATAAGTTAGGCAAAACCATCTTTCTATTCATATGATTTGGATCAGTATCTCCCTATCTTCAGTGTATTACGTTGAATCATCTTTTTTTCTTCAATCTACTCTACCGATATATATTTAAACAGTACGATATGTCCAAGAATAGAACTAACAAACTGATTACATAATGATTGCTAATAGATACATTTCTCATTGGTATACTCTTATATATTCAAAGTACACTGTGCAACTAACTATATTTAATTGTAATCACCTATATACAATAGACTATGTTTTTCATAATGTGATTAGTATTGTTTTGAAAAAAATGTATGAAAGGTGAAAAATTCAATTAGTATTGTTTGTTTGAATCTTCCCATCAATGTGTTAGGACTGCAACTGGTTAGTCTCTTATTGTCATATGTTCATACTGTGCGTATTGCCTCGATATAGCCTTAATTCACAAACGTTGTAAGCAAAGATGGATAGTGGCTAACAGTGGAATCCAGTTTGACGCGCGTTTCATCCTATTTGAGACTCGTCAGCTGAATGTAGGTACATTCAGAGATGCAGGTACATTCAATGGCGTTTGAAGCGAAATGTAATGGGTTCGAGTACCAGAGTGAACATGAACTCTGAGATGCAGGTACATCCAGCTGATGGATCCCATATAGGACAAAAATGCGCGTCAAACTGGATTCTACTGCTAACCACTAACTATCTTTGTTTATATGAAAGGTGGTTTGTAAATTTGCATTATAACATATGTAATACTAAACTACTTAAACATTTCGAAACTCAATGTAAGTCACTTCTTTAGAAGAAATAAATTAATTCATTAATTTGAATCAGTTCGTAAATTTCCATGAAATTCAATCAATATACATTTCATTAGTAGTACAAAGGAACAAAACAAAACAAAATTATTTTGTACAATCAATCAATCATAAAAAAACACGTTTGATCAAGTTCATTTAATTATGCCATACCGGTCAAGGTAACTTTTATGAGATCTAATTGTATATGGTAATGATAATAAGTGTGAAAAATGTGATATTTATTATTTACGTACATATGCCTGTTACTTTCAGTGGAGTCATATATATTGCCCCCAAATGCCCTGGTACGGCCGAGAGTGGGGAGAGTCTACTCTCCCTCTCGAAATGCTCTCACATGGCCAGCGAATATATAGCCTCTGTCAGGGAAGTCCTACTCACTGGATGTAAGTAATGGCGGTGTGGATATGTTGCCTGGAGAACGACTTCTCGACCTTGAGTATGCGGATGATATTGTCTTACTGTGCGATAATGCCCAAGGCATGCAATCAGCACTTAATCAGTTGACAATCAGTGTTCGCAGGTACGGCATGTGCTTTGCACCCTCCAAGTGCAAAGTACTCCTACAAGACTGGCAGGATTCTCATCCTGTACTCACCCTGGATGGTGAGGAGATCGAAGTAGTTGAGAAGTTCGTGTATCTAGGTAGCTATATAAGTGCTGGTGGTGGCGTGAGTGATGAGATCGATGCACGTATAATGAAAGCCAGAGTGGCTTATGCCAATCTGGGCCATCTTTGGCGCCTTCGTGATGTTAGTCTGGCTGTAAAAGGTCGGATCTACAACGCGTCGGTGAGAGCAGTTTTGCTCTATGCTTGTGAAACCTGGCCTCTCCGAGTTGAGGATGTTAGACGACTCTCTGTGTTCGATCATCGTTGTCTCCGAAGGATTGCTGACATCCAGTGGCAACACCATGTTAGTAATGCAGAGGTTCGGCATCGTGTGTTCGGGCACAGAGACGATAATTCAATTGGTGTCACCATCTTGAAACTCCGACTTCGGTGGCTTGGACATGTTTTACGAATGTCGTCTCAGAGACTTCCACGTCGTGCATTATTTGCCGACCCTGGGACTGGTTGGAAAAAGCGGAGAGGAGGTCAGTGTATGACATGGTGTCGTGGCATGAAAGAGAGCTGCAAAGGGCTAGCTTTTGTTGATCCTTCACGACTCCCTGGCTGGGGTCCGAGAGATAGTGCAACACAGTGGCTAGAGACGTTATCAGATATGGCTCAGAATCGAAGCCAGTGGCGATCCTGCTGTAACCTTTTACTTTCTTCATAAAGAATGGTTCTAACTTTCTTAACTGAAAGAGTCTTCTGGTTGTACATTTCAGCCTGCCTTATCTTTTCATCCCTTCTCTTCCTACTTTCATTATTTTGTGTGGCGCATATGTACCTGGTGCCCTTTTGTACCAATATATATGTGTTTAAATAAATAAATAATATCCCTGGTCATATGTATTAACTTTGATGAATGGTTCAAGTTAGATGGATGGTAAAATGTTTTTTTCATGTTTTTGAATTTTTCAAATACGGTACGACAGAATTAAAGTATTAATACAAAGTAACTATAATCCTTTACAATGCTTCAGTTTGTATAAAGGATATGATTCTCTTTATATCAACTTAAAACTGTCTAATGATTAGGGTTTGTCTGTTATATATATAATGCTTTTGATGTTAGAGAGTCATCTTGTAAAATGTTTACTTGATTCAAGGAACATCTAAACTACACAAAAAAGCACCTAATAATCCTATAAAACTTCGAATTTTAAATTAGGTTGGCAATAGATATATATTCCATTTTCAATAGTGAGATAAAAAAATATCAAGACAATTTGTATACGTACAGACACTACCAAGGAAGTTCTACTCACTGCCTTCTCGTGATGAGGGGATTGTTTACGAAATGGAGAGGACGAAAAACGAATGTCCGGCCCTTTAACCGGGTCTGTGGACACGGCGAGTCCATTTAGGGGAGTTGGAAAACTCTGATTTCAAACTACCCGACCGTTACTGCTACATTGACGTGATGGTCGGGCTTGCCTATCGTGATGAACCAATCGAGCTATGCTGGCTGGAACAATCGTTCCTCAAGGTCCTACCATGCCAGAAAGGTCGGTTGAAGAGCGGTAAGACTAAAAGCAACAAACCCAAGGTTCGAAGGCAAAGTCGTACTGTTGACTCTACAGAGGTGTGACAGCAGTAAGGTGTTTCCTTCAGACAACCAGCATAACATCGATTCTGCCCTCCCATTAGCAGGGGTGGGGTGAGAATTGGTCGACCCTAAAAATGCACACCTCTCCTTATTCCACGGACAGCCGTCTCCGGCAGTAAGATGCCAACACAAAAAGGTTGTGTGTGACAGACCTCAAATAGTTGTCCCTTGGGCACTGCGGTCATGCTCTCAAGTCATTAAGACCACTTCTAACCCAATTTCATTTTTAGATACCTCTAGAAGAACCCTTCTACGATGTGGGCAAACGGAAAGTGATAACTGCCCTCATACCTCTAACAGCACTCAAGACCACTAAGATAATCTGAATTAATCCTTTTTTTTCTCAAATTGTAGGCTGAAACATCATCGAATCAATATTTTCAATTCCCATCTGTTATTATTCCAACCACCAATTATTTCCCATGTTCTACTACTACTACTAATAATAATAATAATAATACTACTCAATATTCATATATGAAATTACCAATTCATTGGCCTACATATTATATAATACATAAACCTAATGCACCAGAAGATGTAACTGGTACTAGTTCAATTCAGTCACAATTATCATCAAGGATAATCAAAAAAAAACGATCCATTATTTATTATTCATTAAAACAATCTAATAATAATACTGATACATTAAAACAATTATATACATTTTCTAAATTATATCCAATAGCTTGTTTACAATTAAAAATACAATTTCTATCTAATGATAATAATAATAGATTAAGTAGTCAAGTTATTTTAAGTTTAGGGTAAGTCTTTGTTCTTTTTTAAATATATGCTTTATATATAGTCAATAATGAGACTTCTTTGGGTTATATCTATTTTAAGAGATGATAAGTCTATTCAGTCAGTCACAACGTAGAACTTCCTACGTACGTACATACACTAGTTCGAATTGTTATACCACTTTTGCACAGAGATGTAGTTGTCGATTCAAATCCTATAGTGATAGAAGTAGTAAGAGTATAAGCATTAATTTGATGTCTACACCTACCAACATGGCTTAGTTCAATTGTCAGTGATTTCATGGATTTGTGCGACGTTTTGGTCTGGTCGCCCCTATCTTTCTTCCAACCTAATCCTACGCCATAAAACATCGCACGTTGGTGGTTGGGTATATGTAACACGTGTCCCAGTCATCCCAGCTCATGAAATTTCACTATTTCATTTACTATTGGGACACTAATTACTGACTTCATAGCCTCTTTCTAAATAACCATAGACTATTACTACGCTTCAATTTGAACGAGAGAGGAATAGTATGAACTGTGAATAAGAGCTATACTTCAAGGTTAATCATGTACAACAGAGTCAAGTGTATTTATAGAGTCAGATGATCTTGTTCTTCTAGAAATTTCTCGAGACCAACTAAATATAGAAACGATACAAATTATTATTTTAATAAAAAAGGTGACTCATGACTCTTCATTTTTCCTAGATGTTTGTAAGGAGTTTTTTTCGACGATAACTGAACTTAATATTTCCTAGCCTTCTCGATGCTTCCACAGACTTTGACGATGGGTATATTTAGACTCCTCAAGAAAGATTTTTGAATTTTGATTAACCTTTCCTTTATTCATTATGTGCCCGCAAATGCCCTGGTACGGCCGAGAGTGGGGAGAGTCTACTCTCCCTCTCGAAATGCTCTCACATGGCCAGCGAATATATAGCCTCTGTCAGGGAAGTCCTACTCACTGCCTTCTCATTAAGGGGGTGTTGTTTACGAAATTGAGAGGACGAAAAGTGAATGTCCGGCGCTTTAACCGGGTTGGTGGACACGGAGGGTTCACCTAGGTGAATGAGTAAACACTCATTCCAAACCAATGGTACACATGGGCTCCAGTATCCTGATGGAACAAATGGCGGACGAACCTGTCATTTGTCAACGGCTACCATGGGACTGCATCTTCTCACGATGTTCCACTGCCTTGTGGATCAGACCTTTTGGTCAAATGCTCGGGGTGTGGCCCCCTAAGAAAACCACCTGCTTCGGTTTGGGCACCCGGGCAGTATCACAGCCCACACACACAAATAGTGTGACGCATATGTACCTGGTGCCCTTTTGTACCAATATTTATGTGTTTAAATAAAATAAAAATTTATTCATTATGTTGTTGATTTGATCTTTCGTTTCAGATATATTACGTTTATTTTATATCACTAGTGGTTATAACGCAACTAAATTTATAAAAAATTCAATCAGTCTTATGTAATAGATAAATACGATATTGGCCACTTCTCGATAAACAGTGACTGTAAATCACTCAGTCCTGCAAAAGGGCTAGTTGTTACTTAACTATCATGATAGTTATATCTGAGATTGTGGATCTGGGTTAAATGTTTTGGAAACCCAGCGGAAGCATCCGTCTCTTCAAGATTGAATGTGCTGTATTTGAACATGAGTTCCTATTAGTTGTTCTTCCGCTCAGTTTAGTTGTGTTTATTAACATTGATCAGTTCTCCATAATACATTTATTCTAGGTGTAGTGAAATAGCATACTATTCTTAGATATTCCAAATATATTGGTACAATTCGTATAAAACTCAAGCGACATAGTTAAGTGATGTGGATGTAGTAAGTCATTGAAATTTTATTGACGGCGATAGTTGGAACACAAACATGACATAAGGTAGGTCAAGAAAAATCGCTTATCCCGATGCATCTCCGTAAACATAAACTGAAAAAGGGATGGTAGCTCAGAGATCAAGCCATGACACCAGTTCAAATGGTTATTAACTTTCGGTTTGAATCATATGAAGAGCTGCTGGATAGCTTATACTGTGGCTGAAATTCAGTTGCATTTAGATATGTTAGTTCATATAATATCTTCTTCTTCTCCTCCACCTCCCCAAAGTCTTATCATTCTCATCCAGTGCTTTTCATTTTTCGACCATACTATTCCTCATGAACCAAGTTTCGAATATATATATATATAGTTTGTCATTAGCTTAATCCCTACTCCTTCATTTCATTCTGCAGTTGTTATGAAGAATTGCAACTGGAACCAATTAAAATGTATATAATTACTCAATTAGTAATAATCAACATATAACCTGATAAATATGTGGATTAGATTCATGTTACTACATAATCTCTACCCTGTCTAATATCACGTGACAAAATCACCAATCAGAATATCGATTTCTATAACTTTTTCATTGAGGTAACTAATGTCACGCCAACGAACACCAAATAGCGTTGAGTTGTTAACTCTAAATCCTTATTGATCCTTCATTCAGTAGCTTCTCACCTTGCCCTGCCAGTTCAGTCCAGAACAAAATAATCAACTTCTAATATAAAAATATATTGCAAACAAAAGTAGTTTATATATAAGCAAACCAGACCTCATCTAACCATTAAAAAGGTACAGCCGAAAATGGCTGTGAGTATAAGAGACTGGAACTAATAGATTGGGAATATCTTAAGAATAGTAAAACGTATAACAGTAGTTAATGAGTCAAATAAAAGCTTATCATAAAAGGAATGTAAATATATCAAAAAAAATAGTTACTTAATAGTTAAACAATAAGAATATATAGTATAATAATAGTCCACAAATTAATCGTAACAGTTACCACAACGCGCTATGCTGACTAGTATTGACGATGGTTAGAAATTTAGGGGCGGTCAAACCAAAACGTGGCATCAGTGCTTGAAGTCACTAACTTTTAGTCTGAGACATGTTGGTAGATTCAGACCACTTGGTTGGAGTCCGCGTGACTATCGTAACCAATTGTTGGAGACTGTAGGTGATATGGCTCAGAAACGATCACAATGGCGTCGGTGTATACACTCTTTATCTTCCCTTAAACCTTGAGGTTAATATTGCTTCATAACTTTCATCCTTCCTATACAGTATCCTTATATACAATCTTTCTTTTATATATTACCACCACTAAATTAACTAATCCTATGAATCCGGTGTTCAACTTGTTGTGCTAACGAGGTATGGTAGTTGGACCGATGCATATATGTGCCTGGTCCTATGTTGTAGCTGACTGACTGTTACGATTCATTTAGAGTTAGTTAGTTATAGCATATAGTCATGATATATATATATATATATATACTTTTTTGAAATTTCCCATTTTTAGTTCAAATAAACAAACCATTCGAAATGTGTTTACTATTGATGAATCGTTTAGAAATGCTTATTATGAAGATTATAATGATGATCGTAAGGAAAATGTTGAGACATCATCATCACTATCAACAACATCATCTAGAATAGATTGGTCAATATTACGTCAAGAAATATCTGATTTAGTAAATAATACTTTACCATATGATGTATGGATTAATGTTTCAATGCCTATATATCCTACTACTGATCTTAATACTCCTCCTCCTCTTTATAATCAAACTAATCATTATTACAATCAATATATGGAAGACAACAATGTTGAAACTTCTCAAAACTTTCATGATACACTTATAGAACAATCAGATCATTGGGTTGCTATGGATACTACACAATTTTTATCGATTTTTACTACAAATAATGTATGTATTGATGATATTACTTTATATACACATCAAAATAGACAATTATTGAAATCCAAATGTCAAAGTAAATTGATTTGGATAAGTAATAATAAAAAACAGTCTAATCATTCTATACAAAGTTTACATTTGAATACATATGGTTATCCAATATTATTGAATAGAACTAGTTCAACATCATCAACTAGTGATCCATTGAATACAGAGAATAATAAGTCCATTCTAAAGTCATTTCATTCATTCTATTCAAATAAATATTCATTATATAATCATTTACATATAATATGGATAACTGGTTCATTATTATTAGCAATATTTATAACATTTTTAGCTATTTTATTTATTATTACATTTAGTTTATCAGTTATGTGTAATCAACGAAAAAATATTCATTTAAATAATTTAACTACTGATAATAATTTAAGTAGTCAAAATGAAAAATGTAAAAAAGAATTACATAATCGTCGAAAATTATATTCAAATCATCACCATCAACATGATCATCATAATAAAGATCATTGTGATAATGAATTATTAAGAATTTTACCAGAAGATATACCGAATAGTTCATTTTTAATAGATTTACATAATCATTTATCATCATCATCATTACATGGTTTATTACATCATCATCATCAATCTGATAGTCAACAATGTAATTCTCAACAGGCTATTACTAATACATTAACAAATCAACAACAATTTTTAGATGATAATTCAACAGAACTTAGTTTATGTATGCAAGATGATAAAAATGAGTTACTTCATGTAAGTTTTTTTTCAAATTTTTTTTCGATTTGATCGATACCATTCGATCAGCACTAAGAAGGACTTGACACATATGACATTGATCACCACCCAGTGTTCAGTCAATTATGATTACATCTCAGTCCTAGAAGAGGTCGGTCGCGGCCCTAATAGCTCAATAGTAACGTCTCTGACTGAGAAGTTGAGTGACATGGGATCGAATTCGTCAAGGAGCATCAGTTCCCTCAAGATTACAGGTACACCTTGCTGACGAGTGCCAAGTAGCACGAAACCCGGGTCCAGGGTTTGCTGTTGACCATCTCCAACCACCATCTTGTTTTATTTTTATTTGAGCATACAAGTATTGGTACAACGGAGCACAAAATACATATGCATCACACAATAAGAATGAGAATGTAAAGTGTGTATAAGAAGAAGGAGAACAATAACGAACAAAAATTAGTGTATGATAGTAAAATAATAATAATGGGAGAGGCTGTTCAGTTACTGCAGGATCGTCTCTGGGTTCTATTCTAAACATAGCTGAAAACTTCTCTATCCACCGTGTCGCACCATCCTCAGGACTCTAACCAGGGGATCATAAAGGACCAACAGAAGCCAGTCCTGTACAGCCTTCTTTCATACCACGAAACCATGTCCTACACTGACCATCGCTTCGCTTTTTCCAACCAGCTCCCAGCGTCGTCGGCAGATAATGTGTGATGTGAAATTCTCTGGGACGACATTCGTAGGACATGTCCAAGCCACGAAAGCTTATGAATCTGCAGAATAGACAAGGGACAAAAATAAATGTTACTGTTTTACAAGCTTTGGATTAAATTAAATAAGGTGCCCAAAAATAGCTTCCGTATTTTGTCATAGTTTCTTTGTTCATATGAAAGAAACGCAAAATTGCTTAAATACACTGTGCTGAGAATTCTATATCGTACCGAAAATATAGTAATGAATGAAGCTCATATTTATAATAATAACTAGGTAGCTTGTCGCATAGGCCTCAACATCCACAAAAGAAAAAGCAAGATTCTCAAATACAACACGGAGAACACCAACCCAGTCACACTTGTTGGCGAAACTCTGCAAGAGGTGAAAACATTCACGTACCTGGGAAGCATCATTGATGCAGATGTTAAGGTGAGGATTGGTGAAGCAAGGACAGCATTTCTACAATTGAAGAACATATGGAACTCAAAACAACTGTCAACTAACTTCAATATGAACGTCAAGACAGTCCTACTCTACGGAGCTGAAACTTTGAAAACTACTACATCCATCGTTAATAAGGTGCAAGTAATTATAAACAGTTGTCTACGCAAAATACTCAACATTCACTGACTGGATACTATCAGCACCATCGTTTTATGGGAGAGGACAAACCAGCTTAAGAGGAAATTAGAAAGAGACATTGGAAGTGAAGAGGACATACATTGAAGAAATCACCAAACTGCATCACGTGGCAAGCCCTAACTTGGAACCCGGAAGGGAAGCGGAAAAAAGGAAAGCCAAAGAACACATTACGCCGGGAAATAGAAGCAGATATGAATGTTAACTGAAAAGAACTGCCCAGGACAGGGTTGAATGGAGAATGCTGGTCGGCGGCCTATGCTTCTCCACGAGGGGTAACAAGCGTAAGTAAATAAGGTAGCTTGCATCTACCAATATTGTTTCTAGGTTCCTACTATACCAACAAACTAAAGATTTCATTGAAATGGACCATTCGTACTGTCGTATTAGGAAGTAGTTGCTATGTTTTTGATTCAACATGTTTGTGATATTGTCACATACTTAGCATGTCCGTTTTAGATTTTGTCTATATCAATCGATAAATATATCATATACATTATACTAATTGGGTAATATTAGGATTTGTTATTCAAATTCGCTCCATTGATATAGAATTAAAGTGGTCATCGTTGGTGTTAAGATTCCTCGACTATCATGTTGTAAGTCCGGACGCTGACATTCAGTTAAGTCCGAACAGGAGGATAGTATCATTAACCCTTATGTAGATATTATTGCCTTAAAGTTAAATGCACAAACGTGTGCTTCTTAACATTATTGTGTTATAGCATATAAAAATTCTGTTATTGATAAAAATGCTCCCAAATGCCCTGGTACGGCCAAGTGTGGGGAGAGTTTGCTCTCCCTCTGGAAATGCTCTCACATGACCACGCGTATGTAGCCTCTGTCAGAAAAGTCCTACTCACTGCCTTCTCGTGGCGGGGGTGTTGTTCACGAAATTGAAAGAATGAAAAGTGAATGTCCGGCGCTTCAGTTTGGGCACCTGGACGGTGTCACAGCCTTCATACAAATCAAATTTATGCGGCGCATATATATTTGATGCCCCCTTGTACCACTATTTATATGTTTAAATGAATAAATAAATTGATAAAGTACTCAATTATATTTGTATTTTTTTATTATTTTTCTTATATCTAGTCAATTGATAGACAAAATATTGACCATTCAGATGTATCTGCAACAAGTGCTATACAATTATTACGTAATTGGAAGTTTTATAAACAACGTAGTACAACACCATCTAATAGTTATTATTATCCACCTCCTGGTTCTTCTTCTTTCCATAATAATCCTAATTATGGCATCAAACATAATCCTACAAAACAGTTAGGTGTAAAACATAACCCTTCAAATACATCTATGCTACTCTATATGGATCATCATCCATTATTTAGTAAAGGTTATACTACTAGTTCTAGCAATGTTGCCAGTGGTAATCCTACTACTTCAAATTTCAATGATAAATGTCAAGAATCAAGAATTAGTTCATCTCATTTAAAACGTATGCCAGAAGTACGTCAATCATTAATTTTATCCGTTAACGACAACAATGAATTAATTATATTGCCATCGTCAACTACTACTACTACTATGAATCATAATGAACAACAGAATGGAAGTATAGAAAATAATAATACATTAGGTATGTTAAATAGTTTATCTGAAGAAGATGCTGAAGCAACACGTTTAGAAATGGCCGCATCAGTTGGTGCATTAGATAATCAATATTCACCTAATGATAATACATTAGATCATATAGATTATACATTATCATCAACTATACCCCGTTCACTGATTATTAATGGTGAACAACCACCACCTAGTTACAATTCATCCTCTTAAAATAAAAAAAACACAACTTAAATTCTAGATATTTTTTGTTTCCCTAAAATTAGCATTTTTAGCTTATTGTTCCCCCCCTCTTTTATAATGATTATTTTAAAAAAACATTTAGTTCCGCCCCTACCCCTCGTAATGGGACCAAAAATGAATTCCATCTTATGTTTTTCTTCTTGATCAACTTAGTAACTGTTTACAGTATTGAAATATAATTGAAGGAACAAAAAGAGAATATTATTTTATAGAATGTAAATATAAGTAAAGTCAATATATCATCTCATCACTAACAAGTTATGTAATCACAATGGTCAGCGTTTTTTTTAGCCAGTTGGTTTTCTGCGGGATGGGGTCGTTAACCCCATACCCAACCCTCCTTCTTTACCCGGGCTTGGAACCGGCAGTAGCTCTCGGAGGAGCTACAGGTGGAGTTATGTAATCACCATGATAATGTCGAAATGTTCTTCATTATTTCCTTAGGTAAGATTAGTTATTTGATATTTTGTTGTTGTTGTTAAAGTTCCTTCATATGATATACATGAACATAAAACTTCAACTTAAATTCATTGAGAAAAAAGAGATCCATTCGCAGAACTTCGTGTTTTTTTTAACTTCCTGGAGTTAGTTTATATTTCTTTTCAAAAAATGGTCCCAAAATAAATGCTCGATGTTATCCATGAGAATAGTTGTTCTTTATTCTGTTTGTTTGTTTACCTTTTCTTTTTTACTGATTAGGATTTTAAAATTTTGTTTTTATATCTGTATGATGCAATTCTCGTTTTTATAAAAAAAGTTCTCCTTTCAATGTTAATCAAGAAGAAAACAGTTAAAATTTCTATCGGCTTAAATACTAGATACACACAATCTTTCATGGCGCCAGTTGGTATCTATCATCTCTATGGGTGTGTGAGTCTACAAGTATTTATCTTACAGCTAAAGTTTTATTGTTTTTATATATAGAACTATATAGGATTACATATTTATTCCTTGATTTGTATTGCTTTTTGGCTTAGGCAAATGTGTTTTTCTTTAAATTGAAATATTTATATAGTTGTTGAGCTGATGCCCACAAACACACACACACGTACATACATTAATACAAACAGGCTTATTAATTTCTTTTTAATCACTACGGCGAGATTGGGGGAAGAAGTTACATTTATAAATCTGCTAGTTTAATTTATATCTGTTTATTTACATTTTCTTTTTTTGTTGAAAAATATCGATGTAGTTTAATTTATTCAACTCCCCCCTACCCTTTTTAGAAAAACAACAACATTGAAGCGAGTAAACTTTGAATTAATTAAGCGAAGAGTTGTTGTTACTGTTAATTTATTTATTCTTTGGAGTTTTGTTTTTCTTTTTAAATAACTGATCATTGAATATTCAATGGAATTCTTGATTTCTATCCCCTATTTGTAAATAATGATGTAATTATATATTATATAATTCAGTCAGAATAAGACGTTTTTTTTGATATGTTTTCCTGTAATTCTCGGTAATATATATATATAAGCTTTATTGAATAGCTCTATTAGAGTTATAGATTATCTGCTGGGATCACCGGGTAAGTAATGGTGAGGTTAGACACAGGGTATTAGGGAATGATAGTAAATCAGTTGATGAGCTTGTTAATGTCCGTTGACTGAGATGGTTGAGCCACTTGTTACGTATGTCTGAACACCGATTACCACGACGAACAAAGCTGGCTATTGTTAGCGATGGTTGGAAGAAAGTTAGGGGCGGCCAAACCAAAACGTATCAGTCCACAAAGTCACAACTTCTAGTCTGAGCCATGTTGGCAGACGCAGACTCTTTGGTTGGGGTCCGCGTGACTATCGTAACCAATGGTTGGAGACTTTAGGTGACATGACTCAGAATCGATCACAATGGAGCAGGTGCATACACTCTTTATTTTTCCTTGAAGCTTGAGGTTAAAGTTGCTTCTTATCTGTCTTCCTTCCAATACTATATCCTTATATATAACCATTCTTTTACATATTACCACCACTAAATTAACTTCTATGAATCCGTTGTTTATGTTGTTGTGCTAACGAGGTGTGGCAACTTATTTAAACTCATAAATATTGGTCCAAAAAAGCACCAGATAAATATGCGCCTCACAAATCACATTCGATTTGTTTGAGGGCTGTGATATTGTCCAGGTGCCCAGACTGAAGCAGGTGGTTTTATTAGGGGGCCACACCCGGAACCTTTGATCTAAAGAACTTGTCCACAAGGCAGTGGAGCATCGTAAGGAGATGCAGTCCCATGGTAGCCGGTGACCAACAGTTGGTTCAAACGCCATTCGTTCCTTCAGGATACTGGAGCCCATGTGCACCATTGGTTTGGAATCAGGGTTTTCCAACTCCCTTAGGTGGACACTCCACATCCACCAACCGGATTAAAGCGCCGGGTATTCGCTTTTCGTCCTCTCAATTTAGTAAACAACAGGATGAGAATCCTGCCAGTCTTGTAGGAGTACTTTGCACTTGGAGGGTGCAAAGCACATGCCGCACCTGCGAACACTGATTGTCAACTGATTAAGTGCTGATTGCATGCCTTGGGCATTATCGCACAGTAAGACAATATCATCCGCATACTCAAGGTCGAGAAGTCGTTCTCCAGGCAACATATCCACACCGCCATTACTTACATCCAGTGAGTAGGACTTCCCTGGCAGAGGCTATATACGCGTGGCCATGTGAGAGCACTTCGAGAGGGAGAGTGGACTCTCCCCACTCTCGGCCGTACCAGGGCATTTGGTGGCAATAACGTAGAGAAATCTGTAAAAACATTAGGATTGTAAGCTAGTCACGGGTTTGTAACAAAATCTAAGAAACTTTTAAATAAATTACATTTCCAAGTTATACATCACACTTTATCATGAATACATTTCTATTCATAGCATATGTAACTTTCCGTGAGAACTTCGCTATTCATTATTACTTGTCTGAGAACATTTGGAAAGATATTTCCGAGAACAGTAATCTAAATTTCATATATATTCTGGTGATTGACTGGATTCTGAACAATATATCCACATCTCAGGGCAAGCACAGAATACAGTGGATAGCTTGGATGCGGCTAAACAAATTATACTTCGCAGATGACCTAACCCTTACATCTCATAAACACCAACAAATACAGGCGAAGGCGGCCAGTGTAGCACAAGGGAAAAGTCAAGATCCTAAAATATAACACAGGGAACTGCAAACCGCTTACACTTCATGAAGACCCTCTAGAAAAGTGGAACATTCACGTACCTGAGGAGCATCATTGATTAACGAGGACCTGATGCAGACGTAAAGTAGAGGAACAGCATTTCTAAAGTTCAATAACATATGGATCAAAAAACAACTGACAACTATTATCAAAGTCAAAATCTTCAATACGAACGCCAAGCTAGTGCAACTGAACGGAGCTTGAAGAATTACTACAGCTAATAATCAAAAACGACATATCTTTACAAACAAGTGTCTACATAACATACTCAATGTCCGTTGATCGAATACTGTCAGCAATAAACTTATGTGAAAGAGAACAAACCTGCTTCCAGCTGCAAAAGAAATTAGGGAAAGGAATTGTAAGTGTATATGACACATATTGAGTAAGTCATTGAACAGCACAAATTTGGAATCATGACGTGAAAACGAAAAAAACAGAGGAAGACAAAACGCCGGGAAAAGAATGGAGACATCGAAAAGATGAGTAGAAATAGGAAAGCTTTCAGGGGACAATGTTAAAAACAGCATTCAAGCGCAGAGCCTCTATACCACAAAAACGAGTAACAGCCATGAGAAGCTTTCAAATTCAAACATACTCATGTACAATAGTGAAAATTAAAACACGATTTAATCAATAAGAAAATTATTTAAACGACTTTACGACTAAAGTATTAAACAACATAGACGAAAACATAAAAAAATGTCCATAAAACTGTAAAACTACATAAACAGAGAAAAAAAACCCATTATCAATGCTGCAATCCAGTTAGTTCTACTACGACCCAACACCAACCGCCAACCAACCTGAAATAAACAAACAAATATACAGAAACAATTACCATATCAATCAATCATCATCATTATTATTATTATTATTCATACACACACACACACCATATGACATCAACATCAGTGGTTCCTTAGAAGTAAACGGCATATTAACATGTATACCGAAAGGTCACTTTCATCACTATCACAACAGTAGCAAAAACAAACTAAACAAAACAAAACCATCACACACAAACTCACATTCACCAATTCAACATAACCACACAAACATACATTATGCATTACATCACACACCACACCGACAAATCTACCATACTCAAAACTATCTATAACACACTCACACACTACAAACACCACAACAACAATCAACCACTCAACTACAATTACCCTGTTCCAACACTTCAACACTCACCCCGCTATCATCATTACACAATAATATTTCACAACTACTGTCTCTCACACTAAACTACACTGCACAATACAAACCAAAAATCAACTAAATCACAAATACAATAACACTGCACTGACACTGCACCACTATCATTCACAATACTTGCACCACAACATTACACTACACCACACTACATCCATGAATATCACACAAACATCGACCACACCATTACCAAACATCTCACAGATACACAACACACATTAAACTGTGTGATGATGCACATAAACATTCACAGTGTATCACCAACTCCTTCATTATACCTCTGCTTCTTACGCCCAGTGACTGTAGTACATCCAGGCGCCTTTGTACAGAGGACGGCACATCACCATCAATATTCAATAACAACTACCATACGTCAATCAAACGACCAACACTTCTTACACACACCCATTCACTCACTCACTCACTTCAAATCACAAACACTTCCTACACACACACACACACACACACACCAACATACATTCCCAACTAATACTACTACATTAACAACATCCACATCTCAAAACTCAATGCTTCCAATTCTCCAACATTAATCTATTACAACAACAACAACAACAACAACAAAATACAATAACACCATACCTATCCAACAGTCACTCACTTACTCAATCACTCGGTCACTCATACACCGTAATATCCTCATCATCATACAATATACGCATACAATTACAATAACTCACCTATTACTCACCGATAACACTGTCTCATACAGTTGCCTCGTCAATTCACAAACCTGAAACACACAAAACAAATACATTCGTATCACTACAACTACAATTTACAATCCTACTACATCCATTCAATTCATCACATCACTGTCAGAAGACAAAACTAATAGTCATCAAGTTAATAACAGATGTACCTATCTTAAGTCATTCATCATACACACATTATTAACTAATCATAATAATCACTAAACACACTCACCTCTTCGCAACACTCAAAAAAACAACACATCCTATGCTGTACTATCCAGTTAGTTCTACTACGACCCAACACCAACCGCCAACCAACCTGAAATAAACAAACAAATATACAGAAACAATTACCATATCAATCAATCATCATCATTATTATTATTAATCATACACACACACACCATATGACATCAACATCAGTGGTTCCTTAGAAGTAAACGGCATATTAACATGTATACCGAAAGGTCACTTTCATCACTATCACAACAGTAGCAAAAACAAACTAAACAAAACAAAACCATCACACACAAACTCACATTCACCAATTCAACATAACCACACAAACATACATTATGCATTACATCACACACCACACCGACAAATCTACCATACTCAAAACTATCTATAACACACTCACACACTACAAACACCACAACAACAATCAACCACTCAACTACAATTACCCTGTTCCAACACTTCAACACTCACCCCGCTATCATCATTACACAATAATATTTCACAACTACTGTCTCTCACACTAAACTACACTGCACAATACAAACCAAAAATCAACTAAATCACAAATACAATAACACTACACTGACACTGCACCACTATCATTCACAATACTTACACCACACTAACCTACATCCATGAATATCACACACCCATCGACCACACCATTACCAAACATCTCACAGATACACAACACACATTAAACTGTGTGATGATACACATAAACATTCACAGTGTATCACCAACTCTTTCATTATACCTCTGCTTCTTACGCCCAGTGACTGTAGTACATCCAGGCGCCTTTGTACAGAGGACGGCACATCACCATCCAACACTTCAACACTCACCCCGCTATCATCATTACACAATAATATTTCACAACTACTGTCTCTCACACTAAACTACACTGCACAATACAAACCAAAAATCAACTAAATCACAAATACAATAACACTACACTGACACTGCACCACTATCATTCACAATACTTACACCACACTAACCTACATCCATGAATATCACACACCCATCGACCACACCATTACCAAACATCTCACAGATACACAACACACATTAA